AGCCTTATCAAAATTCCAAAATTCCAACTATGTGTCTTCTCCTAGAAATTGATGCTACAGTTCATATGGGTGTCTAAGGTACCAAAATTAGCCAAAACAATTTGAAAACGAAGAACCATGTTGGACAACTCACATTTCCTCATTTCAAAACTTACTACAAAACTACAGGAATCAGGGCGGTGTTGTACCGGAACAGGATAGACATAGAGATCAATGGACAGAACTGTGAGACCTCAAACAAACCCATACATTTATGGGGATTGATTTTAGAGAAGACTATCAACACCATTATATTGGGAAAGAACAGTCTTTTTTTGTTTTTGTTTTTTTTTTTTTTTGGTTTTTTTTGTGAGGAAGATCAGCCCTGAGCTAAAATCCATGCTAATCCTCCTCTTTTTTTTTTGCTGAGGAAGACCAGCTCTGAGCTAACATCTATTGCTAATCCTCCTCCTTTTTTTTCCCCCAAAGCCCCAGTAGATAGTTGTCTGTCATAGTTGCACATCCTTCTAGTTGCTGTATATGGGACGCGGCCTCAGCATGGCCGGAGAAGCGGTGCGTCAGAGTGCACCCGGGATCCGAACCCGGGCCGCCAGTAGCGGAGCGCGCACACTTAACCACTAAGCCACGGGGCCAGCCCCAGGAACAGTCTTTTTAACAAAACGTGCTGGAAAACCTGGACATCCATGCGCAAAAGAATGAAGCTTCATTCCTTCCTCATGTCATATAAAAAAATTAACTCAAAATGGATCAAAGACCTAAATGTAAGAGCTAAAAGTATAAAATTCTTAGAAGAAAACGCAGATGTAAATCTTCATGACCATGGAATAGGCAATGATTTCTTAATATGACACTGAAAGCACAGGCAACTAAAGAAAAAACTAGATCAATTGGTCTTCTTCAAACTTAAAAAATGTTTGTGCTTCAAAGGACACTTTCAAGGAGGGTAAAGAGAACCCCTAAATTGAGGTAAATATTTGCAAATCTTGTATCTCACAAGAGACTTGTATCCAGATTATATTAAAAAACTCTAGAACTTAACAATAAAAAGAAAAATAATCCAATTAAAAATGAGCAAATGATCTAAATACATGTCTCCAAAGAAAATACACAAATGGCCAATAAATACATGAAAAGATGCTCAGCATCACTAGTCATTAGGGAAATAAAAATCAAATCATGAGATACCATTTCACATTCACTAGTGAGTAACAAAAATGACAGATAATAACAAATATTGGTGCAGATAGAAAGAAATTGAGACCCTCACACATTGCTGGTGGGAATGGAAAATGGCACAGCCATTAAGTAAGACAGTGGGAAGTTCTTCAAAAGCTAAACATAGCCAGTAAATTCCAATAGAGCAGAACAGTGCCATATTCTTCTTTGTATCTTCCTTTCACTATACCTGGGACAAAGCAGCCTTTCTCAGAATTTTTCTTCAGCGCCATAGAGTAGGAAAGAAGAACAGAAGAATGGAAGGAAGGAAGATCCTTCAAGCACAGGTATCCCATCTGTGATTAAGAGAACAATATAGATAAAATAATAGAATTAGGGGACACCAGATGAGAGGGAGAGTTCATAGTTTTTCTAATGGTTGTTCTTTGGATTACTTATATCAAGAATTCGAGTAGAATAACAAAAGATGAGAAAAGTGAATTATAAATGATAAAATAAGGTTCCCTCAAGATTCTTGAAGCTAATGCTTAGCTGAGGTGGTAGAAGAAAGAAGGAAAGTGAGTCAAATAATTTCCTGTCTCCAATCCCGATCTCCACTTCCCTATCTCTCAATATGTGTACCCAGATATCACATCTGGTCACTACCTTCTCTCAGCAACAGGAGGAAATTGGAAAGGTGATATGAGCCAATGAAAGGAAAATAAAAGAACGAAAGAGAAGAAAAAGTGGAGATGGAAGTGGTAAAAATTAATGTTTTAGAAACTAAGGATCAATAGTGAAAACATTTCTCTCTCAACTTCCCCTACACAACACTGTCCTCAACACACGCTAAGCCAGGTTGCATGTGTGTACAACTGAGAAAAAAAGATGTCCCCTTCAACTGATGTCCAAGATCAGTTCTAGAGACAATCGGATCCACTGGAAATGGTGACCTCACAGGAAGACCCGCCTCGTGGGAGGCAGCTGTGAGGTCTGGCTCCCTGAGCTGATGCAGCAAGCACCCTTCCCGGGCCCTGCCTGTGGGCTCGCCTTCAAGCCCAACTCTGCCTTGGGCACCAGACTCCTCTGCTGGATGATCATCTGGCTCCTGGGGGCAGGTGTGTTCTGGGCTAATGGATCAGCATCACTGGGCTTTGTCTGTGGCTCTATAGCTGTGTCTCAAATATGCCCTGGACATCCATGTTGCCCAAAGATTTTCTGAAAGGTATTAATATTTATAGGAAAACAAAGAATTGCAAATAATTGCAAAAAAAGCAAAGTTTCTGAGAAATTTTAAGAACATTCAGGAGACTTCAAAGATATTTGAGTTCCCTTAGGTTGCTTCATTGTAAGACACTCACTTTGTCTACCATCACAACTCTGTCTCATGCAATATTTTCTTTTCTGAGGTCCCACAAATGCCAGGGTCATCCAGAACCCAAGACACCTGGTTGGGAGAGGCCAGGAGGCAACACTGAGATGCAGTCCAGTGACAGGACACAGTCCTGTTTATTGGTATCGCCAGTTCCTGGAGGAGGGTATGAAATTCATGATTTACTTCCAGAAAGAAGAAGTCATAGATGAGTCAGGAATGCCAATGAAACGCTTTTCTACTGAATTTCCCAAAGAGGCATCCAGTGTCTTAAGGATCCAGCCGGCAGAACTGGGAGACTCAGCGGTGTTTCTTTGCCAGCTCTTGATCACCATCAATGCAGAGTCACATCCTCTCAATGCACAAACACCCTCCAGGCCCTGCCACAGAAACAGCTGTGAGCTGGGGGCGGGGACACGTTGTTTGATTAGGGAACAAATCAGCTATAAGGCATTCTTCAAGGTGAGGAGAGAAATAGGGGAGGACTGTAGAAATATCACAGAATATCCCAGCCCATGCTCAGGAACTAAGACACTGTCACCTGAAAAAGGTAAAGATTTTTAAAATTCATACTCTATTTCAAGTTCTCTATTGTGGGCTTTAAATATAGAATTTTATTTAATCAGCAAAACAATCAAGCAAAGGATATATTGCCTTCATTTTCAACATGAGAAAACATGACTCCAGGATCATTCTTCTTTCTGAAACTCAAAAAAAAAAAAAAAAAAAAGATACAGGATACAAACTCAGGTTTGGCTGGCTCAAAAGGTTGTGCTTTTTATACTATGCTGTGCTGCCTCTTTTATTCTTTCTGGAATAATCCAGGTTTTGTCCTTTGCCTAGTGCCTATGAAGGTATATAGAGATACCAGGATTAAAAATTCCTGCTATAGGATATCCCAGAGATGGCGACAATAGAATTAGATAAATTAGTCTGGAATTTAGGAGACAGGTCTGCCCCTAAAAGACTATTCATTAGAAACACATCACCTGAACCTTTTGGGATCTCAGTGAATATTTTTTTTTTCATTCTCATCACACAATAAATGTCAAACATCTACAGAGACGTGTTTATCGTCATTTGCTTTGATGGAATAAACAATTTCAGAAAATTAAAAGGCAGATGAATGCAAAGTCGCTTACATACATATACACGAAGGAAGTCCATCCTCACCAGGATGGAGTATAAACCTTCACTGCCTTTTCTGCCTTTTGATTTTCTGAAATTATTTCATTGCCCTGGTCTCTCTCCTCCCTGACCTGGAGGAGGGGGTGGAGCAGAAAAACTGTGAGGGGACTGAGGAGCAGAGTGAGTGGGCCTGAGGAGAAGTTGGAGAGAACATTTGGAGATAAAGGACACCCAGTGACTCAGACCAGAGCAGGACCTGAGGAAGGAGGTTTAAAGGTGCACTCATTTGGCTTAAACCCCCAGGCATGTAATTGAAAGGGATCCCCTTCCAAACATACAGCTTCTGAGGGAGAAAAAATGGCAAAGAGGAAAGAAGAAGGGTCCTCTGGTAATTGGAAGGAAAACTTAAGAGTCCTGTAAAACAAAAGAGAATCACAATATAGGAGCCTCACAACCCACCCCCCACCATGAAAACAACAAACAATATTTCCTAAAGTGTCTGAACTTCCTGATAATGATGTGAAAGGATACTTTTAGCCTGGGTACATTGTAAAACACCTCAACAACATGAAAATGAACAAGAGGAAAGCAAAATCCATAGAGTAGAGGGAAACCCACCAGTTTTCACTGTCTTCCCCCGAAAAACAATCACAAGTCAGAAGAATACGGAAATCTACACTCCAGACAGAATTAAATAGACTCAAGCAAGAAGCTGAAGATAGGACAACCCACTTATAACCAGAAGTTCAAACATTAACAACAGAAATGGCAAAAACAGGAAGAGAAGAAAAAAAAGTGAGAGAAGGTGCTGGAATGAAAATGAGGCCTCGGCCTGAATGCAGAGGAGTATCTAGAGCCACTGAGCTCCTGGCAACAGATCTGAGTGTTGCCTTTCCATTGCTGCCACAGACACCTCTGCACAGACCCCAGGCGTCACTCTTTCCTCAGGGAGTCGAAGGGATGACAAAGGAATTCTACCTTCTGTGTGACCAGAGTGTCTGCAGTGCTGTCATAGCAATCACACATTACTATCACCAGGAAATCCAGAAGGCCAATCAGAGGAGACTCTGGCCTGTAGATGTGGTTGTACCAGCAAACTCAGGCCAGACTGAAAGCAGAGATTCAGGAGGGAAGCACAAGGAAGGAACAAGTGATTCAGGTCTCTGCTCTTAGTCTCCTCATGCACAAAATTAGGGAGCTGTCTCAAATATCGCCAGGATCCTTTCCAACTATCCAGTCTAGGCTTCTGACAAATTGGATGCATTAAGGCAGCAGGATATCCAGAGCTAAGATTCTTTCCTCTTTTGTCTTCCAGCAAGTGCTTGGAGCTACAAGGAGACCCCCTGTCCCCGATGGGCAACAAGGTGCTCTGCTGGGTGGTCCTTTGTCTCCTGGGAGCAGGTGAGTCCTGGGTTCAGGGAGCAAATTCCTGTCCCGAAGGTGCCAAGTTCCAGATCTAAGCCTTCCCCCTGTCACAGCAGCATTAGGCACCCTCTTGGTCTCTTTTTCCAGAGGGTTTCTCTCTCTTCCATAGACACCATGGACGGTGGAATCACTCAGAGCCCAAAATACCTGCTCAGAGAGGAAAGACGAGATGTGACTCTGGAATGTGAACAGAATTTGGATTACAATGCCATGTACTGGTACCGACAGGACCCAGGACAAGGACTGAGACTCATCTACTACTCACAGTTTGTAAACAATACTCAGAAAGGAGACATATCTGAAGGCTACAGTGCCTCTCGAGAGAAGAAGGCATTCTTTCCTCTCTCTGTGACATTGACCCGAAAGAACCAGACAGCCCTCTATCTCTGTGCCAGTAGTAGAGACACAGTGAAGCACAGCCACCTCCTCTCTGTGCATAAATGTGTCCCAAGCCCTGCTTCGCTGCCAGGTGGCAGGGCTTTTCCAGACTCAGTACCTTGATCTGCCAGCTTTCCTCAACCTCAACCAGGCCTCCAAAGCAGCTGCTGCCATCATCACACTTTGCAGAATGTGACGGCACTGAATTGGATTTAAAAATGACATATATGCATATATATATATCTATATCTATCTATCTAACTATATCATGGAGAGAGAGAGAGAGAGAAAGAAGAGGACGGAGATGGAGAAGGAGGAAGAAGAGAAGGAAGAGGAGGAGGAAGAGGAGGGGAGGATGGAGAGAAGAGGTTAATTTTACATCCCAGTTCTTTTTTCTATTTTACCAAATACCATAAAATAAAAATGAACAGATAATGGTCCCTTCCTTCAGAAAAATAATAAAGTCTAGTGGGGAGAGACATGTGTAGAAAACAAATACTGTAATCAAATATCCTATATGTGTGCCTTATCTGAGATGTTAGTGGAGTAGAAGGAATAACATGGCCAAGTCTGTCTGGTGACATCAGGAAGGGCTTCAAAGAGAAGGCAAAATGGGAGATGAAACTCCAATGCTGAGTAGGATTTCACCAGATGCACATGCACCACCTGAGTGATACAGCCGTAGGGAGCTATGTCAGGAGAGAGTGATCAGATAATATCAGGAATAAAGATGATCAAACCCTCGGGAATATGGCGATAAGAGAAAATTTGAAAGAATGAGTGGAGCAAAGCTGTTGAACAAAATTGAGTTTCTAGTTCTAGTGGACCTTCCTTGGACATCTGCATAGATATACATAGTAGGCTCCGTAATTGCACCTGGCATTTAGAAGGCAGAGTCAGGCTTGAGAGAAATATGTGCTTGAAGAATCAGCAGACAGGCGGTCAGTATTATTTTGCAAATGGTCTTGATGTTTTCTGTATATTTTTTCCCTTTGTGGTCTGCCACCTATCAGTGGAATTATAAGGCAAATGATGCTAATTCTTGGGGCTGTATTTGTTTACAAGTTTTTATTTGGTCACGTAAATCTGTTTCTAGAAATGAATGGCAGTCTATATTATTCAGACTAACCCTCACACTGCATACAACTAAAAATACTGGATGAAATATGTTTTTAAATATTCTTGGAATCATTTAAGTACCCCAATCTGTTCTCTTGTGTGGCCCTGGGTCTCCTGGGACAAGCAAGTTCTAGAAAAATGTGGGAAGTCTCTGACCATTACATACAAGACTTGGCTTCATGCATTTTATCTTCCTCATTCTGTGTTTGGCGTTGGTTTTCTTCTCCCACATAATTTGTGGAAGCCTGACTCACACGGAGACCAATATACTGAGATACAGAGATGGGAAACAGACACTAACCTCTGAATAGGATTTAAAACACCGAACTGTGCTACGATGAGCATTCCAACAGTCATTGCAACTAACACTCTCTGAAAATAGTGATGAAATGGTTGGGAATGGGATGGGTCTAAGATGCTGCACTTGGACTGTCCAGACCATGTTCACAGACACTTCAGGTCAATCATCTCCTGAGCCAGATGATGCAGTCATGGATTTTTGTGGCAGTCAGGGCCATAGCCCTAGAGTTTTCTGCTCCCTGTGCGCAAGTCATATTCCAGAGGCAATAGGATGGGGAGAGGCTATCTGTCCAGTGAGAGAAAGGAAATTAAAGGGACAACAGGAAGAGATAGACAGTCTTGTTCTTCTTTGTTATCTTGGGCTTAACTAGAAGGAATATAGATTTCCTCTGTCTGTTGAGGAATTTATACAACAAAGCATATGGAGTTTACTTAATTATAAAACATCCACTCTAAAACAATTGAATCAATTACTTTCTCAGGGTGGTCCTGACACTAAAAAGCTGTGAATTTCATAACAGTTCCCCTTCCCGAGACCAAGCTGTAAGAAAGTTATTGTATGAAAAGAAAGTCAAAGAATTAAAATAGATAAAATATCACTAAATGTTTTCTAGGCAAGTTTTGAGGATCCATTGTATCTATTAAGTAGGAAGAACAATTTATAGAAAAATATAATCAAAGAATGATCGTATTTCTTGATACAAATCAAGATTGATTTAAAAATATAGTGGAAGCAATCAATAGTAAATTAGCCAAGTCACAAAACCAATTTGCCAATTGTACATGAACTCCAGAAATATTTCAGAATTTTGAGGAAACAGACAAAATATGTGACAAAAACACACCTTCACAAACCAGAAACACTTAAATGTCCATTAACAAGGCAATGGACACATAACCTGTGTTACATTTATATAATAGAATAAATTATAGCAAAAATTCAAATATTGTTTGCAAAATCATGGATGGTTGAATATCATAAACGTAACATTGAACAAAAGAAACCAGACATAAGAGTACACACTATATGAAGTTAAAATAGTGGCTACTTGGGGGCATTTTAAATTTACTTGGAGGGAAGCATGAGGGAGGATTCTGGGGTTCTGAAAACGTCCTATATCTTGATCTTGGTGGTAGTTACATAAGTGTATTCATGTGTGAAAATTCACCAAGCTGTCCACCTGAGATTTATGAAGTCTATTATGTAATTTATGTCTCACTAAAAAAGCTTAGAAAAACAACAATAGTAAAGACAACAAACACCCCCAAATGTTGTGACTTCAAATAACAATGTATTATCTCTCATGGTTCTATGGGTTGAATGTGCTTGGCTGAGTTGCTACTTAGGGTCTCTCATGTTGTCACAGTCAAATAGTCACTGAGACTGGAGATATCTGAAGGCTCACCTGGGCTGGACATCCAAGATGGCCTCTTTGTACACATACCTAATACCTCACCTGGGGTGACTGGAACAACTGTGGACCAGCCTCACATGTCTCTCTCTCCCCTCACAGCCCCTCAATGTGTTAGTTGGGTTTCTTCACAGCATGATGACCTCAGTAGGTAAAATTATTACATAGTGGCTGACTTTCCCAAAAGTGAGTGTTCAAAAGACCCAGGTGGGATCTACAAGGCTGCTTATAACCCATCTTGGAAAATCATGAGTATTGTTTCTACCATATACAGACCAGTCCAGAGCCAAAAGGAAGTGACTTAAAGGAATGTGAATACTGGGAGGTGTGGTTCATTGTGGTGCCATCTTTGAAGAGTAGCTACTATAATATGGTAAACTGGTACATCTGATCATGTTCCTCACTGCCTTGGACCGATGATAACTTCAGAGTGTAACGATAGATGCTTTACCTGCAAAGATTTTTCTTGAGATCAACTCTAATCAACAGCTATACTAGGAAGGAGGTTCTGGGAAAGGTATTTCCTCCTTAGTTAAGTTGATACAGTAATATAAATCACAGGTCAATACCTGATGGCTGGTGGTCTTCAGAAGGAGTAGAAAGGTTTTCTTCTGATCCGGGGGCTTCTAGCCATTTTATCCCATATATGCCATAATGTTAGACCAGAAGTAATGCATTGCAAGGTACATCCACCTACTCTTTGTAGCAACAGTACAGTTATAGTGAGAGGTGGTTCCAGTCTAATATGGTGTGTACCAACCATAAAAGAATATAGTCACAGGAGCATGTCAGATGGCCTTTAATCCATGTATCATTCTTACGTATGTTGTAATATTTAATATGTAATAATTATACTTCCTATGATAAAAATCTATATAATATAGTACAAACATAATTTGATGGATCAAATCCCAATCCCACCTTTCTTAGTTACCCACTCCTGATAAAAAGAACTAAATATTAAGTGAAAGCCCAACTGGGAGGTTGTTATAAAAGTGAAAGGAAAAATATCTTTGGAATTTTTTTTTGCTTTGGAAAAAAATCTTAAGCCTCTTGAAATTGCTATGCATTTCCAAGCATGAGCCATTTAAAACAAATATTCCAGCATGTTCAAAGCAGTAATAATTCCTTAAATCTCCTAGAACCTATTTCCATTGGCCAATACTTAGTTTATGACCTGTATCATGGTGAAATAATGATAAATAAATGATCCTGACAGCCTCTACAGTGCTTTACACAAAGACATATAGACTATAATAAATAGTCATATTTATTATTAAGTTCATCACTATGAGGGGAACTGACATGAGATAGTTGTGAAATAAATTCCTCATTTAGAAGATGAGGAAGTGTCCTTATCATCGATATGAAGAAACATGGAACTTCTAGCCTAGGATCTCTTATGTTCACCCATAGTTCTAGTGAACAACCACCATGAGTTGTCTTCATGTTGTGCCCTTGTCTCAGCCTATTGATAACCAGTGTCGTGGCTGGACGGGCCCTTGTGGTTCTTATTAGGATTGGAAGATGCCTTCTGCAACAACCATCAGGAATCTTTGGGAAAAATAAGTTTATTACTTACAGGTTCTGGAAATTATATGGCACACCTGGGGCTACACAGCGTTGTTACAGACAGAGACAGAGCATGCACAGGCCTGGTGTTCTGCTTTTATTGGGTCCCAGGATGGGAGTCTAGGGTTTCATGGGCTCACTCTCTATTGGTGAATTTAAAACTAAAAGCAAGATTTTAAGGCACTGGAAGAGAAAAAAACAAGTGGCTCAAGTGGTCAATTATTGAAATCAACCAAGATCTCTAAAACAAAGGAGCCTGGGGGTTGGGGTCATTGGGGAGGTGACCTGTCTCTTCATCTAGTTTTGTGGCTGGCAATGTATATATTGATGATAGCCATCTTTGAAGTGGATGCCTCTTTGAAGTGGACACCTCAGCAATCAAATCTTAAGTCAGGTACTTGCATGACAAAAAAGAAAAACCAACTGTCAGGGCTGCAGCCTACTTGGTTACTTTGAGGCACAGAAGTAAAGAACTGACTACAATGCCATTTGCTACACAAACATGTACCCCTCTCCCTATATAAGGCTAAGAAACTCATCCTAGTCATTTCAATGATGTAGGTATCAGTGTATCTTCTATAAAATTAGGAGTCGAATTAGAACAATTTTGAGGCCCTTTCAGTGATGTATGTATGGATCTTTGATAATCAGAAAGAGCAATAGAACCTGCATCATTGGAAAAGGTCACCACCAGGGGGCAGGTTAGAGCCTCCTCAGGATTACATAAGCCCTCATCCCTCCTTCTGGGGTGGATAAAGGAAGAACAAAGACCATGGTCATACCTCTCTTGAGA